CCGACACACACACTCGCACACACACACACATTAATTATATATATGTAATAGATGTTTAATATTTGCATATCAACTTAAGTTGATGTGGCGCAGAGATAGGTTGTTGGTACATTCTGTGAGGTTTGAACTCACTACTTTAGCAAGTGGTGTGAGAAACCTACTCTTCGGTAGGTGTCCTTAGATATTTACGAAAGTCAGACTAGAGATGAAGTCCTCCGTAAGGAACGAACTCTCTAATATAAAAATCAGTTTCTAAGTATTGCTCTATGGTAATCACACATCTGTGAAGATATTGATTTCATTGGCTTTGTCAGACGCAAGGGACAATAATTGGTAACTTATTGGCAATAGTCAGAGAAGAAAACTTAGTATTAGTTTACTCTCACGTGTGTGTGTGTGTGTGTGTGTGTGTGTGCGTGTGTGTGTGTGTGTGTGTGTGATAGAGAAAAGGTGAACTAGATTAGCAGATAGAATGCGATTTGAATATAAAATTTGTGATGTAATTTCTTAAAATGTCACGTCCCTTCAGGACTTGGCGATCATGGCTCTCCCCAGACTTCTTTTTCTTTATTATTTTTAAGTAGCATCTTGGGAAAGATAGTGGAGTAGTTCTCTCTTGCCTTTTGCACAATTTAGAATCCAGAGTAAAAAAAAAAAAAACAAAAAAAAAACAAATAAAGAATCTCTTCCTTAAATGCTATTTTCATTAACGGTGTAAGGGAATATGGCGCTCAATATACTTATTTTTATTATCTGTAAATTGTCATGACATCTTTGGAACTTATATTAAAGTGGAGGAGCTCGTCTACCCGGCTGTTTAACTCATACATGGATGTGGGGTAAGATGAGTGAAATCAATGCATTGTGGTAAGGTCATTTGTGTAAATGTGACTTCAACAACCGAGACCGGAATTTGAACTATTCGATGAATCCATTTTCTGCGTTGATAACCGTTACGCCACACAAAAAAAAAAAAAAAAAAAAAAAAGACAAAAAATATAATCGGGGTCCTGATGATGTATACATCTTTTTAGGTGATATGACACATCTGTGATTTGCAAGTGTATTTTTATCAGAGCGAAGAGTAGTGAAATTTTTGGTAAGTCTTATCGTTCATTTACTACAGCTAAAAAAACAAAACAAAAATCACTGTCACTGATTTATAATAATATACCATCAGAAAAATTTAGATAAAAAAAACATATTAATTTGACTGTTATGATAAATAGTCATTGGAGTATCTAAGGTGTGGTAGCTATAGCAGGTGCCACCGTGCAGTCTCTAAAAATAAGACAAGCCTCCTTCAGTGTATGAAAAAAAAAATTCCTCTAGATGTATGATCTGGCAATGATCATTAATTTTTTTCCAGATGTATGATCTGTTATTGATCATCATGAATTTTCTCCAGAGCTATGATCTAACATTGATTATCATTCAATTTCACCAGGTGTATAATCTGCCATCGATTATCATGAATCATCTCCAGGTGTATGATATGCCATAAATTATCATGAATTTTTTCCAGATGTATTATTTGCTATTGATTATTATTCATTTTTACCAGATGTATGATCTGTTATTGATCATCATGAATTTTCTCCAGATCTATGATCTAACATTGATTATCATTCAATTTCACCAGGTGTATAATCTGCCATCGATCATCATGAATCATCTCCAGGTTTATGATATGCCATAGATTATCATGAATTTTCTCCAGATGTATTATCTGCTATTGATTATTATTCATTTTTACCAGATGTATGATCTGTTATTGATCATCATGAATTTTCTCCAGATCTATGATCTAACAGTGATTATCATTCAATTTCACCAGGTGTATGATCTGCCATCGATCATCATGAATCATCTCCAGGTTTATGATATGCCATAGATTATCATGAATTTTCTCCAGATGTATAATCTGCCATTGATTATTATTCATTTTCCAGATATATGATCTGCCATTGATCATCCTGAATTTTCTCCAGATGTATTATCTGCCACTGATCATCATGAATTTTCTCCAGATGTGTGATCTAACATTGATTATCATAAATTTTCTCCAGATGTATTATCTGCCACTGATTATCATTCATTTTCACCAGATGTATGATCTGTCATTGGTCATTATGACTTTTCTCCAGATCTATGATTTAACATTGATTATCATGAATGAGAAGAACTATGTTGACCAGTTTGTTGAGCCACTTATATAAATTATTCGGTAAAAATACAATGTCTGGCAACTGGATTCCATTTCCCAGTGCAAACTGGCAATGATAACCCAATCTCCAGTGCAAAATAGGGAGGTAATTTAAAATTTAAGAAAAAAAAATGGGTTTCGTTGTGAGAAGTATTTGGATAGGGACGCAATTCCAGCAATTGCCAGACGCTGTTTTTCGTATATACGACCCCGACCCATCCTGAATGAGAGAGAAGCAGCATAGTTTAGATAAGTACAAAGCCAAAACAGAGAGACAGGTATCGTGGATCGAACACTCCACCCTTTCCTTCTTGAAAATCTTTCTGTGAACAGCGCTACGGTGACGATAAACTACATCCGGTAGCAAGGCCTATGTTCGGGAGATTGTAGATTTTTGAGGAGCGTGGAACCATCTCTTAATTGCTATTGTTCCCAGGTCCACCCTGACCCTGGCTGGTAAAACCAGTTAAGATCATAGCTTTGGGAAAATACCGAAACCTTAAACAAAACAAAAAAAAAAAAAAAAAAAAACTATGAAAGTATAAAAATACATTTTTATAAAAAAATACCAGCAATGCTTTTTATACAAAAAATGACCAACAATACATATTTATAGTAAAATGACCAACAATGAATATTTATAATAAATCTACCAATAATACATTTTTAAAGCAAAATAATCAGTAGTACATTTTGTACAAAACTTACCAACAATACATTTTATAGTAAAATGACCAACAATACATTTAATCTGTATTTGAAGGCATACAATTGGTTCAAAATATATTTAGTTGAAGGCATATAATTGCGTTCAAAATATTTAGATTTTGGCATTAAATAACCCATAGAATTGTTGATATGCCATTAAACAAAATCAACCAACCAAACGCTAGAGTAGGCACCATCAGTATTTTACTATAATCAGCTTTACTGAACTCATTGATCAATTTACTTATAAACCATTATCTAAAATAAGAGAAGCTTAGGGTCGCCTGTTTTAGAGCGATCCTTTACATACCAAGTAAGTCTCTTAGAGATTTGTTCAACACCGGGTGCCCCATTATTGTGGCCTTTTACCAGACTAGGTTCAGTTTAATAAGCATTTATATTTAGTATTTAGGACGCTGGTTCTAGAACAATGATTATGAAGCTAGTTCAATCCTATGATAAATATTTATGTCTGTATAGTTAAGATAATTAAGCCGCTTTCCGTAGACTAGTAAAGTGAGTTCGAAATTCACTGAGTGTCCGTCTTATTTAGCAAATAGATGCACAACACTAATTCTTCGACGGCCTTGATCCGGAGTTGTCTATATTGCCGGATCAGCGTCATTCACGTGCTAATAGTTCAATAATATACGTCTGACCCACTCATTATGCACATTTGATATATTTATAGCAAAGGACTTAGGCAATCATGGCTCTCTACGGCGTACTTTTCTTTATTATATTGTAAACTGCTGAGCATTTCTAGACAAGATGGAGGGGAGTTTCCTCCTGCTTTCTCCATTGTTTGGAATTCAAAATTTTTAAATATTAAAATATGAAGTCAATAATGGCTGTGTGAAATTGAAGTGATTGCTCGTAATTTTGTTCGGATTAAAAGAGGTACCCGGTACAGAGATCGCCGGAAGATCAGTGGTGGGCGTGTATATTTTTGATATATGCTTATAAGCGTAAGCTTAAATCTGCGCATGCGTGCGGCGTATACCCATCCTGGCTATATGATTAATGTCAATTTTCACGCCCAGGTGTAACGGGAACGTAGGCACGGAATACGGCTGACTTTTGCAAAAACAAAAAAATAATTAAATACTGGATGTCAGGAGAGCAGATCTGTTGATAGAAGAGAAGAACTGTCTGTTCATATCTTTCTGAGTTTAACAATATCTATCTATCTATCTATCTATCTATCTATCTATCTATCTATCTCATTCTCTGTATATATCTATTCATTTTATTTTATGTTATCTGTTTCATTCAATATCTATCTGTCTATCTATCTATATATCTATCTCATTTTTTTTGTATATATCTATTCATTTTATGTCATCTGTTTCATTCAATATCTATCTATCTATCTATCTATCTATCTATCTATCTATCTATCTATCTATCTATCTATCTATAAGGAAAGCCATGCAGAGAAACACCGGTAAAAGAAACATGCGTACATATATATATATATATATATATATATATATATATTTTATTTTTTTATTAAACAGTATATTTATTTATTTCCATCTACCGACCTGAACATTCGAGAAATTTTGTCAGAAAACTATGTGCATTCAGGCCAGTAGATAGAAATAAATAAATATACTGTTTAATAAATAAATTAAAACAGCGTCTGCTCAAATGAGCATCCATTAAAATAATAACGTTTAAACAAATAAATTAACTATATGTGCGTGTGTGTGTGTGTGTGTCGTTGCAAGAGAGCGTTGAGCCTGATATTCGATTTAGTGGAGAATTTCAGTGACACACACACATCTTATACGTATATTCACACACACGCATATTCACACAATTGATACACACACGTCTTAAGCACATAATCCCTTACAAACACACGTGAATACATATTTACTTGTACATTATCTATACACACCCATATTCAAACATCCACACATACCCATACACACATATCTACATATTTATACCCATTCATGGCCACTCATAGTCACAAACATTCACGTGCACATATATATTTACATCTTTATATTCATTCATATCCACACACACATTTAAGATACTGCATATTTCGTTATATGTATATTAACATTTAACATATTATATATATATATATATATATATATATATATATTATAAATTAATTGATTTAAAATTATTTTAAATCAATTAATTTATAATATTAACGCTCTGTAAATTTACATTGAGCACTATTTTGTAAAAATAAAATAGCTATAAGAACACTGGATTATATATCTTACTGTTTTATATATATATATATATATATATATATATATATATATATATATATATACAACATCTTTGTATGTTTAACGAAGTTTCATGGACATATATTCTCAGTTGTTTCAGGACGTAAGCAGTTATGGTTCTCCACGGCTTCCTGTTTTTGTTACTCTTGTCATTGTTCTGCCGTCCATCACACCATATTGTTCAGAAGATAGAAATCCTCCCCTTGTTCATTTTGCCTTCAATATTTCCTTTGAGTGACAAATTCACTAGGCCCCCTTTCCTCATTATTGGTTACCCTTTACCATCCGTTTGTTCAAAGCAAAAGTTCATTCGCACAAACTCTTTAAGCAGGTTACTTGCTCCCCACCCCGCCCTTATACACTAGCCATCAATATGTCCTGTGAGTGTTAAATTCTGTAAGCCTTCTTTCCTCATTAAGTGCCTCAGAAATTTCAACTGCCTTATTCCTTAAAACATAATTAGACGTACGTTCAGTCCATGGTAACCACACTATTCGTCGTAGAATCACATCTCTGTCGCTTCAAGTTTCTTTTATCTGTGGGGAGATTGTCCAGCATTCACTGCCATTCACGAGAACAGATATTAAAACAGCAGTACGGCACAATTCTTTGTTTCTAAAGATATTTTTCTATGTCCTGATACTTTACTTAGTGTCTTGAAGACAATTTCACTATTCCTATGCACATTCGCATTTGTGTCACATTGTCCTAGATAGTTAATTCATCTACAAAACTGATTATACAAGATCTTTCAAGACACCCCATTGTCGTTTTACATTTTAATTCTTATATACATATATATATATATATATATATATATATATATATATATATATATATATATATATATTAACAAGGCCAGTACACTCTACTGATTGGTTTGTCTTGTTACGGATTATGTATGTCCTTAGCCATTTATATCTAGAGACGAGACGCGTTAAATTTGAGTAACATCCAGCCGACACACTGGGGTTAAAAATAGGAAACTAAAATGATACATATGACACACTCATATCCTCTCTCCCACCTCACTTCCTCACTTCGTTAATTTTACGTATACTTGATGAGGTCCGTCAAAAACGTGTGAATTTCTTTTCATTTTTCATTTCAGCTTTTGGAAGTAAAGTCTGATGATCCAGAACCCTGTTAAAGGGGTTATGGTGAAATAAGCTTATTACATGGAATCTTAACGTAGTCTGTTTTTTATTCAAACAATATATATATATATATATATATATATATATATATATATATAGAGAGAGAGAGAGAGAGAGAGAGAGGGAGAGAAAAAGAAAGAAAAGAATATCAGGAAATACAAATAGCACAACTATTATTACAGATAGTAATATATATATATATATATATATATATATATATATATATATATATATATATATATATATATATATATATATATATATATATATACATATATATATATATATATATATATATATATAAAGTTCACATATCGTACACCTAATAGGACTAAATACTACTTCATTGCGATCTTTGGGAGAGTAAGGCTTTGCTATTGTCCGGTTCCCATTTTACATATTTAAAGAGAAAATATTGGGAGTAATCTATCTATCTATCTATCTATCTATCTATCTATCTATCTATCTATTTGCCTATGTGCCGGCAAATCGCGTTCATTTTACATACATTATCTACGCGTGCAGTAGTAAATGTGTGCGTGTGTGTAGCGACTTGCAGGTATTTAAAGACTGTTTCCGTAAAGTAATCACACACGCACACACACACAACCACACGCGCCATGGCGCGCACACACACACACACACACACACACACACTTGTCTCCATAAAGTAGAACTTTAAAAAATATCAATACAGTTATAACAAACTCTTAAACTTTAATTTATTTACCGGGTTTACAATATTGATAACCCACCAACACCACCTCGAAGAACATTTCACTACTACTACTACTACTACTACTCAAGTTTTCGCCATCATAGCAGTGTAGTTGTTCAAGTGTGCTGTCAAATGTACTTTCAAAATGTATTAGCAGTTGTTCTTTGCTCACTGTCAGAAAAGTCTAAAAATGTTTGCAAAGCTTTCGATATTTTCTAAATGATTTTCAAAATTTAATTTCCATTCAATTTTCCATATTTAATTTCAAATTGGCCTCTTTTTTTATTTCTATTTATTTTATTTTATTTTTCACTAACGGTTTTGTCGTTATTTACTGGTGGAAAATATTAAAAAAAAACAACGTTTTTTAGTTTTATCGAATTTAAACACGTGCGTGTGCAAATTTCTCACACATATACACAAAAAACACGAACATAAACACACACAGTGTCTCTTTCTCAAACTTTTTATTCAAACGTCGTCAAATATAAGCCCATGATTGGGTGAAGTTTGAAAATGTGTTTAAAAAGTTATTAGTGAAAAAACTCGTGTAGATTTTCTTTTGTTATTATTTGTATATATGTGGCTGTGTGAGTTCAAACGATTGACTTTCTTTTTGTTTTGTTTTTTTAAATAAGCGCTCCAGAAAAATGTAGATAATAAATTTTAAATCATAATGCACATTTGCCGATTGGAACTTGTGTTGTCAGAAACGAAAAGAAAAAGAAAAAAAAAACAATGAAAAAGAATCGGTAACGTTCTTCCGAAAAAGAAGAAAATGCAACGAATTGCGCGTGCGTGTTACACATTCAGAAAAATGCACTTTATCGTGTCCTCCATACATACTCTTCGCCCAAAATGTAAAAACTTATGCACAGGTAAAAAAAAAATCCACTCAAATTGTTAGCCTATGAAAATCGAAATCTAATTAAAAACCTATATATTTTTACTAGTAAAACTCGTACGGCCTCTGTCCCTTAATAATTGTGACATTTAGTGTAATGTGTATGCAAATGTGACAATTAATATTAATGTAGGACAAAGGGTAGCACTAGCTTTCCTTTTTCTAAGCATTATTACAAAAATGTACGAAGTGTTGCTCAAATGTTAGGGGAAATGGTACATGACAAAGAATCATTTACACTCACGGCTAATTTTTTTCAATCTTATTCGAAATATTTATCCTTAATCTTGGGTATCACAAAGAGTACTATTCATAAAGAGTAGCGGCAAAAAAGTGTGCCACAAAGGATTTACAAGCTGTTAAAATTTCCAAAACTTTTGTTTGTATTTTTGTATCTTCTTAGGCAACTATCATATATATATATATATATATATATATATATATATATATATATATATATATATATATATTTGTGTGTGTGTGTCTTCACATTTAACTCTTATGCATTTTTCTCTTCATATCTATCATTGTTCATAACTAATTCTCTAGCTGTCACTTCAGCTCACTTTCTCTTTCTGTCACTTTTTATTTAACTCGTCTACATCTATCATTGTTCAAATCGATCTAGCTATCCATCTATCTAGCTAGCTATCATTACTCATATCTATCTATCTATCTATCTATCTCTCTCTCTCTCTCTCTCTCTCTCTATATATATATATATATATATATATATATATATATATATATATATCATTATTCATATTTATCTATCATTGTTCATATTTATATCTATATTTATCTATTTATCACTGTTCATATCTCCATCTATCTATCTACCTATCTATATGTTCATATCTATCTATCTATCTACCTATCTATATGTTCATATCTATCTATCTACCTATCTATATGTTCATATCTATCTATCTATCTATCTATCTATCTATCTATCTATCTATCTTTGTTCATAGTTATCTATCTATGTTCATATCTATCTATCTATCTATCTTCATATTTATCTATCTATCTTTGTTCATATCTATCAATCTATCTATGTTTAAATCTATCTTTCTATCTATGTATCTATCTTTGTTCATATCTATCTATCTATCTATCTATCTATCTATCTATCTATCTATCTATCTATCTATCTATCTATCTTTGTTCATACCTATCTATCTATCTATCTATCATTTTCGCTTTGCCTTTCTTTTTCTAAAATGTGTCTTGAATTTCATGAATCAATTTCTGTCCCTTCTCAAGCCGCAAAAATTCGCGCGTATATTAGTAAAACGGCAAGACAAACTGCTTTTTCACACGCACACGAGCATTTGACAAAGTAATACGAGAAATTGTATTTAACACACTCGCATACACAGTGATAAACAGTAAAGCACACTAAGAAGAAAATTATTCACGCACACACACACACACGCACGCGCTTCACTGTCACTTTTTTTTTTTTTTTTTTTCGCTTATATTAAATATTTTTAATTTATCTCTTTGCTGGCTATTACACAAAGAAAATTTTCGTTTTCCAAAAAATGGGGACATTGGTACCACAGAAGGGAATTTCACTCACACACAGAAAAATATTTAAATTGTCTATTTAGAAATTATTCCGAATAAAACAAAACAGAACAGAAAAGGAACAATTTCTTTTTAGACATTTTTCTTGTTTTTTTTTTTGACATCGTGTTGTCAGACACTAAAAAAAAAAATCTCAAAAAAACTTAAATTTAATTAAAAAAAAAATACTTCCGTACGAAACAAATATCAATTAGGTAAAAAAAAATGTGAAAACTGAAATTGTATGAAAAGTGAATTAAAATTTAAAAGAAAAAAAAAAAAGAAAAGGAAAAGAAAAGAAAAGAAAAAAAGAGAGAGAAAAAAAAAAAGATGCCTATAATTAAAACGTCAAAGTGTAAATTAAAAACCTACCTTTTTTTTTTTTCCAAGCGGGATTGAATATTGTAGGGACAAGGTGCGTGTAAATACCAGAAACTCAAGATAATCGTAGTTCAATTTTGGGGACACAAGGCGAGGTATCCACACAGCGAGTGTTGTAGTGTATCAAAAACACACAGTGAGTTTGTGCTTGTAGTAGTCGTCGTAGTAATAGCAGTGTAACGGGAGGGGGGGGGGTGATAATCTTAATAGTAGCAGTAGTAGTTATTGTAATTGGAGTATTAGTAGTAGTAATAGTCATGAAGGTAGTCACAGCCGTGATTGTCGAATCGTTGTCGAAACACAGGGGCAGCAAAGCGAACTAGTAGTAATAATAGCTGTCGTTATTATAACAGCAGTCTGAGATACGGTTGTTATGGTGATGGCAGCGGCAGTGGAATAAATTTAATAGTAATACTACTGCTAGCGATTTTAGCGGTAGTAGTATATATGGAAATAGTTTAAAGTTAATAACGCAGCATTTATTTGCAGACGTTTGAAATATTTGTAAATATTTATTTACAAGTGACGGCCGGCGCGGAGAATGTGGTCGTCATTTAAGCAGGGTTGCTTCATCCTCGAGTCTAGGACCAACTATTGTGTAACCCATTTTGATGGAGAGGCGAAGGGCGCCGCCTATATTGCTCTCCTCTTCTGTATTTGCTTTAAGATCCGAAGGCAACAGCATGACACTTGAATTATGTATAAAATCACATGCTAAACAGACGACCAAATTACAGACCCGCGCCACAGTTAGAATTAAAATCACCCATTGAACATCAAACTCAGCGTTGCGAAATTTCTTATTTGTTCTTTTCACATGTATTGTACGGTATTTGCAAGTATATATCTATATCTATATATATCTCTATATATATCTATATCTATCTATCTATCTATCTATCTATCTATCTATCTATCTATATATATATATATATATATATATATATATGTTACAAGATTTCTCTTTGTTCGAAAAATGATAGATGAGCAATGGATTTAATTGTGTAAAAGAGAAAATTGTGCTTTCGGCAATTTTTCTGAGTAGGGAGAACACGGACTGGCTTGTCTTAAAAAAAAAAAAATCAGCTCACGAGATTCTTTGTAATAGTAATTACCTGAGTTTGAACACCTACCACACCTTTTTTTTTTTTTTAATGGCAGTCAAGAAGATTTAAATTACTATTCAGAAATATATATATATATATTAGTGTAACTAACCCCATGTTGCTTGCAACAGTATTGTTAGTAGTAATTACTCAATTACAATGTCTTTTTAAATTTGCCACCACCATTTCTGGAGGCTGGGCGAATGGTTGGTTGATTTGGTATTTTTAAGTAAATTGCAGGCGATCTTGTAGTTTAGCGTCCAAAATTATTACGAATGCCGTGAGGACAGTGTCAGTTTCAACAAGCATGAAGCAGGTATTTAAATTTAACCTAATTAAAAGTAAAACAGAAGTAAAAATAAATAAATAAAAAAAAATAAATTAAACACATATTTTCTTTAGGTCGACTATATCATATCGGATACACATTTTTTTTTTATTATATATATATATATTTTTTTGCTTTTGCTTTTTAATTATGAACCAGATACAAATAGCATTAGATCGATATCTGGGAAGAAAATCACGAAAAAAGTTTTATTGTTAATTTTTTTGTTATAAGTGACTCAGCAGCAGTCGGGATCATTTGGGACGCTAAACTGTAAGACATACATACATACATACGACGACGAATATCATGTTAGTAATTAAACGGAAACCTGAGTGAAACCAAATGCCTTTAATCCGCACGGATTTTAACAAAAAAGTAATTATATATATATATATATATATATATATATATATATATATATAACAAAAAAGTAATTATATATATATATATATATATATTGTTTATATATATATAGTGTTTATATATTTTTAATTTTATGCACGCATTTGAATCCCGTTTAAAGTAGGAAGTAACAGTCCCAATCGTAATGTATTTTTAAACCCACCAATTTAATTTTTACTCATGTCTATTTAAGACGTAGGCGATCACGTTTTTTGCTACTACCTTCGAATTGCTATGACATCTTGGCAAATACAGTGGATTAGTCGCCTTCCCCGTGGTTCAAAATTCTTTCTCCTAGATTAGTTACCATCCAACGCTAAAGAGATCAGCCTACCCTACTAGAAAATGACTGATCCGCACCTTTCCCAGTGACAATAATCCGAAAGATGAACGTAACAGACTAGGCCGGAATTTGAACTCGGCTCCCCGAATCCACTTTTCCCGATGATAACCGTTACATTTAACCGCATATCTTAGTCTGATAAGAAACACATAGGCATGCAGGAAGGTTGTGTTGCGCCAGTTGACTAACTGAGGGCGATGAACACTGTAATTCTGAATTTCAGGATTTTATCTGAACTCAGTTACCCATTCTTTCCGCCTCGAGGAAATATACGCCACAATCTTAGCCACGAGGCATCCATTGACCTCTTAGTATATTTTAATCTCTGAACTTAATTTGAAATCTCAGTGTACCATATAGACACATTACGCAGTCACATGAGTGCAATACTTCCCCGCATCTGCGCGCACATTG